GGAAGAGGCGGGACCGTCGCGGCGAGGGTGGGGGAAGAGGCCGCGGGGCCTCTCTTCTCGCGATGCTTGGCCGCGCTATAAAAGGCAGCTCAGCGCATGCGCCTGGCAGTCGCGGCCTGTGCGCCGAGAAGGAGGTTCGTGTGTCTGTTGCCGGCGGTCTGAGAGGGCCGGGGGCTGTTGTAGTGTTCGTGGGTGTGCCCGGTTACCCCTCAGGGGCCTGCCTGACTGCCTTCGGGTTTCTTTCTGCTCGCGGCTGTGCCCGGCTCTGGCCCCGTGAGGTGGCGAGAGCGGTGCTTGGCCTGCGCTCGCCGCCGCCATCCTGTACCAAGGGGTCTGGGCGCATTCGGGGCTTTTCAGGGAGGAAATCTGTACCTCGCTTAGCACTCACCATGAGCAAAGCGTCTCGGTGGTGGTGGGTTTGCTTAGAGACAAAAGTAGCTTTATTTTCTCCCCTGAATGTCTTTCCAGGGGCTGACTTCGGCCTTGCCTTGTGCTCTCCCTGTTGATGCCGTGAAAAACCAGGATTGAAGACTCAATAGTTGGAAGACTATTAAGCAGGTATTCTTTATTATGGCGCCGGCCACGCGGGGATCTCTCCTCCAAACGTGTGCCCCGAAAGGCCACACTTACTAGGTATTCATGCTATGTTAATGTACGCATTTGCAAGAAATGCTTATCATAGTTTTACCGAGAACTCATTAGCATATGGTAATGTCCGTCGCGCATGTTTGTTTGGCATCTCTCGGTGATCAGTGGGGTTTTCAGATTATCCTGCAGCCTCCTTATCTCTGTAGTTTGTATCCTTGTTCTCCCAAGGCTCAGCCGCCTAAAGGGATTATTCAGGAGTCCCTTATCTTGCAGCTGTCCCAATTACTCACAAAGAACCAAGACTTGTTTTGGTTGTGCAATGATTCTGACCACCTGAAGTGATAACATCCCCTACATGTTACATTGGTTACATTTACAGTTGTCATTGTCCTCAGCCCGTTTCCTAATGCAATCCTTCTCCGTGATGACCGGCCTGGTGACGCCGTAGCAAGGGGATTCCAACATGCTCCTGCTGCTGGTGGGTCGAGACACATTGCACATCAAACTGTGCTTCCTTAATTACTCTGCCCCCTTTAATAACGATTATATGGTGGCTCAGGTGGAGGTGGGTCTGGTGGGGTGTTCCCCCTTCAGGGGCTGGGGTTGGCAGGGTGGCATTCCCCTCTGGGGCACAGGCAGGCAGCTCTGGGGTGTCCTGATATGGCTGGCTGCC